TGGTGGCGCAGCTCCAGAGGATCACGTCCTGGCCGTCCTCAGTTTCGAGGGCTCGGCTCCTCGGCTCCTCGGCTCCTCGGCTCCTCGGCTCGGCGAGAAATCTGCGAGGCCCTGCGAAAAGTTTAACGAATCGGGCGGATTAATACGGAAAAAATAACCAAACTCGTTGGCAAAAAGTTAAGGCCCTGACATCCAAGCAGGGTGCACTAAAGTCTAGGTGCTCCGAAATCCAGACAGGTACATGTGCCTCGTGTTTGGAACGACCGTTTCGGGGGAAGGGAGTTTGAAGGGGCACCAAACCAAGAAACGCCGAGAGGAAACCAAGAGGAGCACATTGAGAAATCTGCAAGGGCTAGGGTCTTTCAGTTCCACCCAAGTCACAAAGAGAATTTGGGACTGTGAGAAATCCGAGACGTTCCCCTTCCCAACGACCCCTTTTTTCAAGGGGCTTACAACTCCATCCACAGGACCCTTCCTGCGTGAGCCGAGGTCGCCACCATGATGCTACCCTCGCGGATGGACAAGCAGTACCTCCAACGCCGCCTTTTCAGCGCCTTCTGATGGAAAGCCGATGCAAGAGACCCCTTACAGCGGAAACACCAATCAGCCTATCGGTGGCAGCGGATGACATTGTCACGTTCCCTTGGCTCGCAAACTAACAACCCGCCCCCCCCACGCGGCGCACTTGGGGTTCGAATCCCACTTGATGTGCTTCCCATCCCTCATCCATCGAACGGGCGGGGCCTCAGAAACTCTCGCAGCTTTCCTCGGGGGTGATGTCTTGGATTCCTAAGATCCAAACAAAGCAGTCCCCGACTAGTTGAGCTTTCAAACACTGGAGTCTCCACATTGGGGTTTGGGGGTTCCCGGTGTCCGCAGGTCACACCCATCCGAGCAATGATCAAGCTCCTGATGCAGGACATGGGGACCATGACCTTACAAGGAACCCCCACAATGGCTAAATGATGCGCTCCCCTGCAAATTTACATGGAACCCAAGAAAGGGCTCTAAAAGACACGTCTCTGAACACAATGCAGGAGTGTACCAAAAGCGGCCCAAATAAAAACACCATGCCTATTAGTCAACTTCCCACCTCGAAGCCTTGAAACCTTCTGGCTCCGGATCTTCGCACAGAGGTCCATGCAAACTCTCCAAGCCAACCTTGAATTGAAGCTAAACACGTCAAAGCACCCCACATGCCCCCCTTCTCCTGACATGCATGGCGCCCCAAGAACCAAAAGCCTCCAAAGCGAAGGAAAGCCCAGCGTTTGGCAAAAGTCAGCTTGCGTGCAAGGGGGGCCAGAATGAGCAGCTATGGAAATTCTTCACAAACTTGTGATTGGCCCGGCGCTTCCACTTGCCGACAGTGGGTAGCCAGAACCTCTTGCCTCTAAGCACATGATTCCGGGCGAGTTGTAGTTCACCAACCGAAAATAAGGGATCTTCTATGACAGAAACCTTCTTCCTGGGCTAGTGTAGCACGCGAGGTGCACTTTTCCAGCTCCAGCACGAAAATCACAACTTTTCAGTATGGCTGCCCCAGCTTGAAATCGGTGACTTTTCAGTACAAGTGTCATACGCGAAGTACACTTCCGCAGCTCCTGCACGAAAATCGCAACTGTTCAGTATGGCAGCTCCAGCTTGAAATCGTAACTTTTCAGTACAAGTGTAACACGCCACCGCATCTCCAGCATCGTTTTACAAGGTTGTGGGACACCGCCAAAAGTTCCACCCTGACTAAACTGCAATTTGGGGGTTAACATACAATAAATGATTCTTAACGTTCTGCTTTCCATGAATGGAAGCTGGAACTGGGGACTGGGACTGATTGCTTGGTGTCCCTGCCCCCGCGCCGCATTCTGCAATGACCACTGCCGTGCCGTCGCCGGCGTCCCCGCCTTTGGACTTGAAAGGATCCAAACTGCTTCCGAAGGCTACTGGCCAATATTCCAGAGGTGTCTACTGCCAATTTGGGGCTAGAAAAAGGCGTTCAATTTCCCAAATTAACTGAGTGTGCGTACTTGGACCATATGCATACTTCAGCCGTAAGTTGAAGTCTTAAAAGGATCAAAGGCTGTGCAAGCAGCATCCCCACCATCCCCAGCCCCAACGGCATTCGGAATATCTTGACAGTAGAACTTCCGAAGCTCCTCCCCTCATAGACATGGTCAGGGCGCATTGAGAGGCCAAGACACATGGCCCCATTTGCTCAGCAAGCACAATTTCAACCGTACGACAAGCCCTTGACACAGCACTACATAATCTGCACGCTGCCGCTGTTGCAGCTCAATGAACATGGAATGCATCCAGCGTGCATGCCCTCATTCAGGCCATGCATGCCCAGACCTTGCTCTCGCAATGCTGAGAAACCAAAAAAAGGCAACTTGCGTAGAAACGTGCTCATGTACAAGCAGCCGGGGATCGCAAACAATGTTCAGCGTGGCGGACACTACTTTGAGGGCAGGGTTAATTGGGAGTGAGCGCCCATGGGTGCTCGTCTGAAGGTTAGGATTGCGGCAACGGATGCAGAAACTGAGCAATATAGCCTTTCTGAGGGCCAACATGTGTGTGTGTGTGTGTGTCTGTGTGGGTGGCTGGGTGGGTTGTGTGTGCGTTTGTGCGCGCATGGGCGTCTTATTTGTGTGCTGTGCTGATGTGCGTGCGATGTGTAATTTGTGATGTGTGATGTGTGCTGTGCAATGTCTGTGTGTGTGTGTGTGTTTGTGTGTGGTTGCTGATTTGTTTGATTGATTGCTTGTTTGCTTGCTTGTTTGCTTGCTTGTTTGCTTGCTTGTTTGCTTGCTTGTTTGCTTGCTTGCTTTTTTCTGGTTGGTCGGTTGGTTGGTTGGCAGGCTGGCTGGCTGGCTGGTTGGGTGGGTGGGTTGGCTTCTTTGCTTGCTTTTTGGTTTGTCTGCTTGCTTGCTTGCTTGCTTGTTCGTTTGTTTGCTTGCCTGCTTGTTTGCTTGCTTGCTTGTTTGTTTGCTTGGTTGCTTATTTGGTTGGGTGGTTGTTTGTTTGTGTGTGTGCTTGCTTGCTTGCCTGCCTGCCTGCCTGGCTGCCTGCCTGCCTGCCTGCCTGCCTGCCTGCCTGCCTGCCTGCTTGCTTGCTTGCTTGCTTGCTTGCTTGCTTGCTTGCTTGCTCGTTTGTGCGTTTCCCAACAAAGGGTTCAACAAGGGTTCCAAGGGTTCTGTCTCCTTGCACCCAAAATGGAATCAAATTGGAACCTTGCATCATCCTTCCAGGCATTTACCTCGGTGAGCCAGCAACTCTGAGGTTTCCCGGCGGAGCGAGAGACACTTGGTGCGGTCCGTCTCCATTCGCAGGAGCTTGCCTCGCTGCGCTTCTCCAACACATGCGGGCACGTCTTTTTTGAGGTTACCCTTTCAGGGGCGTTTCAAAGGAACACTATAGAAAAACCGTCATTTTTAGGATCCCTTAGCTTCCCCAGCCGCTATACGTAATAATGGATGCCTCAGCCAGGTTTCACCATGGTTTCGGGACCCTGGTTACCTATAGAATTTGAAGCACTGAACTTCACTTCTCTTCGACAACTTGTGACAAGGCTTGGCTTTCGGCTACCCTCGGTGGACAAAACCAGAATCATATGTAAATTCATGTCCAACCAATCTGAAGCAAATGGATGGTCCCAACGGAAAAAGAAACAACAACAAAAACACTATAGCCTTTTTGTCCAAGTTGGATCCTTTTTGTCTCAGGGAGAAAAAAAGAGAAAAACAAACGGGGTAGCCTCGAAAACGACAAACGCGGGTGGGTTCCAACCATTTGTGGGTTCCAATCATTTGTGGGCCAACCCTTTGTGCTTTGACAACATATTGTTCATATTTTCAGCCTGCAACCAGTGACTTGGTAATGCTTCTCAGCCCATCGGCGTGGTCCGCAGACTTCAGGATTCTCAAAATGGAACCTTTTTGCTAAACGCAAACCAAAAGAAAAACAAACATTTTAGGAGATCATATTTCGAGAAAAAAACCACTGAAGCTGGAAGATGCTTCTAAATGGCTGAAACTGACATGTTTAACGGCGAGGCACAACATGATTTCGCCAAATGGACAGAACCCTCTGTTTTGCATTGGACAACGGAATCCCCTGTCCTTGTCAACTCGTTCTGATGCTCTTTCACCACGCTTCCATCGGCTTCGATCAGCGCGCTATCATGTAGCGTTTGAGCAATCGAAGAACATCGGTAACATAACTTGTGAAAAATATCGAAACGAATCATAGAAGCAACTCGGCCTTTTGGAGAGCCTGCCGCCTTCAGCCGCACGACTCTCTTCGAAAAGGACGAGTAGAATCTATGAAGTTCGACTCCAGAAGGAGCCAGCAGCTGCTTAGACCAGCAAAGTCCCAGCTCTGCCATAAAAAGGGCAAGGAAAGGCCGGCATCTCGGCACCTGGCCAGCGTTATCAGATGCCAAGGCGGCCCACAGCGCAAGAAGCCAAGCAATGGAGGCATCGGTTCACTGCCGGGACCGTCGGGGCCGGCAACCTTCCTCCAAAGCGGCACCAAAAATGGGCGGTGCTGGGAGCTTCTCCAAAGCTCGACACCAGGTGCGATCAGGCGAGTAACATCAGAAACTGGGGTTGTTTCCAATGAATGGGCCACTTGGGTGACTTTGATTGGCAAAATACCGCCGCGATTGCACTCTCACTTAGTAAACGAGTGAGCTGTCTGAGGTTTCCGCAAGACAACTCTTTCCAATGCCTGATCTGGCGATTCCCACCCGAGACAAGAATCATGCACCTCGCTTGGTATACCGAGTGAGCTGTCCCTTCTTCAACACCCTATATGTATAGAAAGGGCTTGAGGTGCATGGCTGTCCGCACCCCTTTCGTTGTCCCGGGGAATTAGACTTCTAGGGTCTTTGTGTTGAACCCTTGGATTCCTGGGAAATGGCCACCCTATGTGCCTGCAATGTCAGGATTCGAGGCATTTCCCGTACAAAAACCCAAGGCTCGGCTCCGGCATAAGGCCTTCGGCCTTCACACTGCAGCCTCCGTCGCCACCATGTCCTTCGGCTCCACCGGGATGTCCGTCTCCCCCTGAAGGGAATCTCGCGGGCGCGGTTCCCATAGGGAATCCCCGAGATGCGGATGGATTCGAACGAAAGGCAACATACAAAGAGTTGCACTTCCGAAACACGCAGGGTAGCTGGGAAACCCTCGCTTTTCAACCAAAAGGTTCAAATCGCTTTTCTTGAAAATGGGGGGGCCACCTCCAGAAATTGGTTCGTTTCCCCCTGCAAACGGGGTCTTTTCTCATCCATCTGAATATTACACCCCCCCCCCCCAAAAAAAAAAAAGGCGGCTTCCTTCTGCTGGAAAAGGTTTAATGTTTTATAGCCAAAATGGATCTAAGGAACCCTGAAAGACAAAGCCCGCTTCCGCCCCAACAAAAAGATGCCGCACACCCAGCCCCTAGCCCTTTACATGGCCAAAAGCCCCAAGGGCCTCCAAATGTTCGACCAACCCGCAGCTGAATGTTGTGACATGCGTTCGATGAACAAAACACTCACAGCACCCCTGCAAAAGTCATTCCCCTCAGGACACCAAGGCGCCAGCTCTGCTTCCCGCTGTGCGCGCTCCTCTTTGGTCACCACCTTGCAGGGATTCCCTTATTGGCCCCATTTTTTGTGTTTTTGTTTTAGAGGAAACAGACTCGAGGACCAACAAAGGAACCATGTTCGCCAAAAACAGTTGCCACTCACCTTTCGCTCAAGATCCACTTAGTGGTCCATCCACCGAAAAGTGGGCTTGGGCAGGGTCCAAAAAAAACAACAATAGACAAAGTTAGCATGTCAAGCCAAGGCAGCAGCAACTCAAATTAAATCCATCTTGACAACCAATGAGTAATGTTTGCGCCGCTCAGATGTTCCGACAAGAAGCTGCATAAAACGCGTCCTCCAAAGAGTAATGGCTTAAGCCCCCCCGATTTTATCCGGACAATGATGTTGTATCGCCATCACGCATAGATGAAGCAACGGACAAGCTTCCATTTCAACCAAGCTGGCAACTGGAAAGGCATTTCCCAAGCAAGCCCCAAAGGATGGATTCTTTTCTTGTGGCTTCCCTTTGAAACCATCCAAAACCAACCAAATCGCAATCCTGCATTTGGGCATGTGTTCTTGAAAACCACCCCAAAATGGCGTTCTTGAAGACAACCCCAAAAAGGTACCCTCAAAAATGTGTCTTGGGTACCCCTTTCTTGTGGTAAGGGAAAATCAGAAGGAACACCTGCCATTTTGGTATCTCAAAACGGGTACTCCCAACATGATGCTGCTGTCCTTTTGGTTTCCATCAAAACCACCCCCCCAGCAGAAAGCAATCAACTAAACTAAAAACAAAAACAAAAAAATGGGTAACCTCTCAAAAAAGGAGGAGCCACCAATTGTGACTCAAAAAAAACACATATTTCCCACCCCGCCTTAAAGCGCAGCACCTTCCACCACCAAATGCCGAGCCCCACCAGCGCGCCCAGGGCCAGCAGGGTCACCACGATGCCCCCGGCCACCGAGGCTTCGTAGAGCACGGAGATGGCCAGGGTGATGCCTGATGTCCGTTGTCCGATTTTGCAGGTAAGCTCAGGTTTCCGTCGGAGGCTTGGGGTCGCTGTCCGGGAGGAAAGCAAAAACGCCATTTTAGGGTTGCGATTCTAGTTTTAAGACACACCTGCTGAGTATGTAGGTTATAACTAGCCAGTTGCCCCAGCAACAATGGCCTCGGTCAGTGGCTTGGATGTCAGGTAAGTAGGTGATAACCATGGTAAGGGAAATACACCAGTTAGCTCTGCTTGAGTTTACTTCCTGTCCCTCTGACTTGAAATGCCCGGCCTGGCACAGCCAAAAACATCACGAGGATGTAGATCAGCGGGATGAAGCGCCAGTAGGAGGCATAGAACCCCAGGGTGCAGGCGGCGTTCACGATCACCCGCCTCATCGGAGGGGCAGGGAACCAAACCAAGATGCCAATGATGTTGAAGAGCAGGTGGCCTCAGATTTGTCTCAACGGATTCGGAACCAACCGAAAAGTTGGAACAATTGGTGGTGTTCCCTTAGATCCCCCTTTTAAACAACCCCAAGGGTGCCAACTGAAAGATGGCCCCAGAGAACTTGTTGGACTGATGAGCGGGCACCAAATCAGTGGGCCATGTAGGATGGGCAAGCGTAGGTTCAAGCCGGGTGCAGAAACCCGAATACTGGCGCAAAGGTAAATGCACCAAGTCTAAGGAAAATTTAATTTCTGACGTTCTGCACCGATTTGAAGATGAGGTGGATTTTGGGTTTCCAAACTGATGGCCCCCAGAAAAGACTGTAACGTTGCTTTTAGTTTCCTTTTGGAACCAAGGGTACCCGCAAAATAAAATCCTATGTCTAGCCAGGACTTCGGTGCACCCCAGTTCCTCAGGGTAATTTGATGAGCACACCCTACTTCATCCCCGGTAGAGCAACCGACGGTAGAGAGCGTTGGCATCGGCCCACAACACAGACCCTCACCGCTGGCATCGGCCGGAGGGCAGAGTGCGATCTGGATGCTGTCGGCCTTCATCACGGCGAGTGCGGCGAACATGGAAGTGAAGGTGGTGCCGATGTTCGCGCCCAAGGTCCTTCGTGAAATGGATACGACCCAGTGACCAAGAAAGTCTGTCCAAAATGAATCCTGCGCTTGGCCAACATAGCCCCACATTTTCTCAAGCAGATTCCTTGAAAAGCTAGCAAAGCTACTTTTGGAGATGAGAAAGCCATACAAACACCCCAATCCACAAAAAGATTCAGTTCTTGGTGTTCCCCTGTGCTGCTCATTGCTGGAGAACGAGGGGCTGAAAAACATATCGAACTCAATCAACAATTATTTAAAGGAAAAATGCAAATGTGTAAAATATTCATTGATCTTTATGAACCAAATGAAGAACCCTAAACCCTAAACCCTGTGTGGTATTATTAATAAAGACTATGCATGGTGAGATAATATGGATGCAACACTGTCAGCAAAAAACTACTGACATGTCAGTACAACTTCTTCACTCATTATTTTCGGTCTCAGCTTTTCCAACCGGACCCGCAAAAAGCCTTTGGAAAGAACAAAAGAAGGAACGCCCTGTAGCCTGTAGGTCAAAAGAGCGTTTGTCTTCGAATTTTCTCCCTGAGAACTTCCAGGATCAAAAGCGCAAAAGTCTGGCCGTGGCTCATCGGCAGCATCTTGGCCACGGGGAGCACCCCGATGCCCACCAGGGGGGTCAATGCACTGGTGGTCACCGAGCTGGACTGCACGATGATGGTCCTGAGCTCCATCCCGCACATGTCCGGTGTGATTGAAAAATCCAACCCTCGGTATCCAATGGTTGAATTAGTAATTTGACAAACCCTTATCTTGGATTATGTTTTTTTTTGCTTGCAGATTATGAAGTTTATTGTTGCAACCCCTGTGTTTCTTTGCAACTCCTGTATCTTAGCAATACTGGGTTCTGTTGCAGCCCACGTTGAGAAGAGAACAAACTTCAACATACCTTTCTTGCAAACCCCCTCAAAATGAGCCAATTCCAAGAGTGGCGATTGATCTTCGCAACTTTTGCATTTTTGCAACCCACGCTGAACAGAAGAAGCTGCTCCAAGCGACAGGGCAGGGGTAAAACAAAGAGATGCGTCCTTTTTTGCAACTGCCAGTAAAAACTGAACCAGCATAGGACCTTCCATCCGTTGAACATGAACACATCCAAAAACTGGCCGTTCCAAGGGTCAGGGCAACTCCCAGCAGCATGGCCAAGTAGTCATTCATGTTGACACCCCGCTTAATCACCGCCTTCGCTTGGCCCATCACCAGGCTGTGCAGCAGCCTGCGGAACTGTGTTTGGGATTTGGCCATGGGTCAAAACCCCGTACCCCCAGTGAACATCCCAATCCCCACTAAAATAGACAAACATGGGTGCGCCTGTCCATTGGTGTTGAATCATGGCCATTTCGCTTGGGATTTCGGGTCAGGTCCCTAAAGGAATCATCTTGCCCCTCTTTCCACACCGCCCAAACGACCAGCTGGTTCAAAGGCTAGGGCAACTTTTCGTACAGATACCGCGGCCATGCCTCACCATGACGTAGAGCGCCACGCACATCACGATCAGCGCGATGCTCAGCCCCAAAATGCCACCGCCCACGTCGCCGGCCTCTTTCAGGAAGCCCTTGCCGATGAGGCGGGCGCCCTCGCGGAAGCGCCCACGAAAAGGAAAGTGGGCGTGTCTTAAGATGGGCATGTCTGGAAAACAGGAATTGGACCGCCAAAATAGTTGTTTCTCTTTTGGTTCCCTTTTAAAATTTACACATCCCAGAAAGGGTGCCATCAACAAAGACACAGCCATGTGTTTCTTCGTGTTGCTTCGGTAATTCCTTGCAATTCCTCGTTCCACGAAAAACACGGTTTGGATTTGTTGCAATTCTGAACCCAGGGCTCCGAGTCTTTCCAAAACCCATGGAGTGGGGGGGCTAGTTTCTGAAAAAGATGGCTGGAAAGAATGGAGAAGGAAGCAACCCTTCTTTGGTTGGGACTTGTTACCGGTAGAACATCCGAACCTCAATCTCATTGGTGTAGTACGCCCCAGCATCCACATAGCAAGAGCTGCCCGAACTGCACTGATTCACGAAGGCCCCGCAGGGGGTCAAAGCCTCGTAGCCATCCTCGGCCACCTTCCAAGCTTGGTGCATAGGGCGTCTGGACAAATGAAACAATTCAGTTTCCCTCTAACTGGCGGCTTGGATTGGTAGCTTGGTGATTCGGGAGGGGGTTCCCATTTACCTCTACCAAAGCCGGGGGTTCAAATCCCAAACCACCGGTCCAAACCACCAACTAAGGGTTATCTGAACAATTGCCCAATCCCTTTTTTGGTTTCCCTTGGAGTTACCCCCCAAATCTGCCACGAGCCCGAATACAGAACTACGCAACCCCGAAACATTCCCAAAGAAATCCCCAACCACATGACTACAAGGACACCCTAACTAGAGGCAATCCACAAAAACAGTCTTCAACGCATGTCCAAGCATTCCCAAAGACATGCCCAAAAGCAAATCTGAAGACATGCCCATAAACCCAAAGTCAGCCCAAAGACATTTCCCAAGGGATCCCCAAGACGTTCCCCTGCGGAAGACATCCCAAAGACAAAAAGAACATCCCCAAAAACATTCCTCAAACACATTCCCCCAAGACACCTTCCAAACACATTCCCAAGGCCCTGAAGTCACGAAACCTGTGCGCCAAGCTCCAAAGCGTACTGCGCCTGCCAACGAAATCTGCGCGCCAAGCACTGCGCCTGCCACGAAATGTATTACTGCGCCTGCCACGAAATGCGCAAAAAAAACTCCAAAGTTCCGCACCTGCGAATGCGCTCGTTTGCGCGCACCCTGACCCAGAACTTACATGTTCGGCGGAGTGCCCGGCGTCCGCCTGGAGAATCCGGCCTCACCCCGACCACAGCATCACGGCCGGAGAGGGGTGCTGGATTGTCCTTTCATGGTGGTGCAAGGCAATCTGGAGCACAAAACTGGAACGCAGCCAGCTGTGGGCCAGCAAACTGCAGAGCCCAGACAACTCCCCAACTGGACAGTGGCTCCATGCAGTTGAAAAGGGAGGCACACGCTCCATCCAATCGCCAGAGTGACGGCCGAATCAACTGTGCGCCCACGGGAGTTGCAACAAATCAAAGACGCTGACAATCTCACGGAGCGCACCCCGACTTAAAGAGTCGGCCCAAGCGTTTCTGACTCCTGCAACACGAGGGGTTGTCAAGGAGACGCCGTGCTGGCAGCAATAGAAACCGATGGCCTGCAAAATGAAACGCAAGGGCTCTGACATGCTAAGTTGCTTTCGCGAGCAAGCAGCTACAGCTGCATTGTCGCCCAATTGATGCACACGCGGTCCACTGCTGGGTGCGGCCAGCACCACGTGTCCGACAAAACAGGAGGACTAATTGGGCCAGGGCTTCGCAAGGCATTGGATTTTCTGCCCTTAAACCACGGAGGCAAAGTGGAGGTGTCCAGTTGAACACTGAGCCAGCGCACTTGATCACGGCGCGCTGGGCCAGCACCTTCTAGCCACTAACCGCCAATGCCGGCGCGCTGCTCTGCGGCATGCGCGTCAGCTGCCTGCGCACACTGCAGTGTCCAAATCGCTCAGTTTGGCGTGGCCAACACGCTGTCGGAAGGATGGGACACCAGACAATTTCCTACTCAGTGAAGTTTCCAACCACGCTGCAGATGACAAGCGTCCAAGGTTGAGTGCAGCGACAAGTCGGTTGCGAGGCGGGTGAATATGGTAGCAGATTGCCCGCGCGACAAAGCGAACAACCGAACAACACAGCGAGGCGTGTATAGAAATTTATACAGGCACTGTGGCCAAGGTTTCAGCCAATAGGCTCCGCCGCAAAACCAGACAAGTAAGCCAACGCACTGCTCAACCAGCCCATAGGTCCTCAAGAGATCTGCCTTGTCATCCGGCTGAAAGGCACAGGCTGAAGCGCCAGCCCAAATCGGAAATCGGAGCCCAAAAATTTGAGCGAGGAATGGGATGTAAAATCCCCGTTGGCACGCCGACCGTCAGTAAGCTGGGCAAGTCTGCATCAACGTCAAGAAGTCTTCACAAACAACACTGCTCAACGCATGATCCAAAGAGTTCTTGTCACGATGCACCATACGGAACACTTCGGAGAGAAGCAATGTTGCGCGACGGGCACTTGTGATGGGTGGAAGACCCACGTACTTGCGGCTTTCGCAGTTGCCAACACGCTGGTTGTCAGTGAGTTTGGCCGCTGCCATGAGAGCGTGTTGCAGCTCCGCGGGGCGGGTAATGTACCTGGGTGTGACATGGTGTTGAAAGCTGTACGCATTGTTTTTCTCCTGGGGTGCAACGTGTTGTCCCCAGACAAACGCCGCGCGCGTTGGTTTCCTGGGTGTGACGTGTGTCCCCAGATGAACGCTGTGTGCGTGGAGTTCCTGGATATCATATGGGCGTCGCTGGCGCCAAGCAACTTGTGCAACGGCCCGCGCAGCCATCGGTTTTGTTGTTGCAAAACTTGTTGATTGTTCTTCTTGACTATGTCTGCTGTTGCTGCTGCGAGCGCTTGGCAAAAGTGTTTGGAAGATGCAGGTGTCCCTTTGCATATTGTGAACACCATCCTGAAGTTAGGGTATGATTGCCAATCCACATTTGTGGACGCATTTACAAGCAAGGAGGCGTTTGAGACCTGGCTGACGCGATTGAAACGCAAGCTGTCAGGTGTTGATGACATAGAAGATGCAGACTGGCCTACCTCTCCAGCTTGTGCAAAGCCGAGAGGACTTTGGCGGCGATTGAGCGCTGAGCTGTCCCCCACGGTTGATGGCTCCGACATGCCTCAGTCGTATGGCGCGTTGGGTGGCCAAGTCGTGGCGCATAAAACGGATGCAGCGGAGCGGGAGCGGCTGCTGAGTGAATTTGAGAAGAAATTCACCGGGGTTGCAGTGTCCCTGGAGACCTCTGTGGTCCTAGGGTTTCTGCAGTTGTTCAGCAGCAGCGCAAGGCAGAGTCATGGCTTTGGCTTCCATGGCGAAAAATCTTGTCGGACGCATCCTGTTTCGAGATGCAAGCACGGCGCGCCGGGCCTCCATCGCGATTTTGCGAAGTGGTGGCCGAAGCTGCGGGTCTGTGTGGGGACGAGTGGGATATGGAGCTTTCAGCATCCCCCCTGAAAGCGCAGCAAGTTTTGAGCACGCGTTCCAACGCATATGCATATGCAATGTGTGGCGGGGGCCACCTGCACAAATGGCACTTGTTTTTCATTACAGCATCCGCGCAGGTCCTGGTTGGCGGGCTCCGACTTCGCAGGAAGCGGAAGAGGCTGACCGGTGTTGAGTTGAGGACTGATGGGCCAGCAGACGCGCGCAGTGATTTTGAGGACGACGCTTCTTCTCCGGGGAGGGCGGCTGTCAGCACAGCCAGCTGGCAACGACGCTGCGGCGCCAAGTCATCACGCCCGTACTCGTGCTGAGACTCCAGGGCAAAAGTGATGCCTCTGGGCTGCCGCCCAAGTGAGCAAGTTGCCTTTAGGCTGTGAAAATATGTGAGCCCCGCCAAAAATCACTAAGCATCTACGGAAACGGGCCAATACTCAATCAAGAGCTTGCAAGTATTCTAACAGCTGCTCCAGGGAAGGCAGCCCTGCACCCCAACCTATAATTGAACAACAAAAGACCCGCATTTTCCAAAGCAGTGCCAACAGGGATCCAGCAACATGTAACTGCTCACCATGCAAGGGTTTATGACATGCACATGCGCACATGGCGCCCCACCTTTGGTGCATCATCAACGCCCCGCGGTCATTGCAGCTCGAGTTGGGGGAAGGGCCATTCGTGGGCAGCTCGCGGGCCGCATCCAGAGCGCCATCTCTTTCCATCGCTTCCTTGTCTTCTGAAGAGGAGATGGTAATCCATCCATCCATTCACCCCCATCCCACAAACCAGCCATGCATCCATCCATCCATGCATCCTTCCATCCATCCGTCCATCCATCAACCCCTCCATCCATCCATCCACCCACCCATCCATCTTCCATCCACATCCTTCCATCCAACCATCCATCCATCCATCCGCCATTCATCACGTCCCCATCCATCCAGCTGGCATGAGAAGCCGGCGCGCAGAGCGAAAAATTAAGCTTGTCACGAACTCAAAAGTCCAAAGGCCTGCGCCGATCACAAAATCCAACTTTGACACGTTTACGACACGCATCCAAAAACTAGCATAGGACTGCAGCGCCGGAATGAGTTCGACCGATTCTGATACACTTCAAGCAGTGCCAACCAAAATAACACCCGTGCAAAAGCTGGCGCGGGCCTGCCAAGCAAAACACTCCAAAGCGACCACCTCTGAAACGCAAATCCCAGGGCATGGCAATGCGAACGAGCAACCTTCCAGAACACTGCGCCTGCGCAGCAAAACAACACTCGGCAAAAACACGATTCACGCACCGGCGCAAGGAATTCAACCCTCCGAGATTCATTGAAAGTCACTTTCTGCGCGAATCCCAATGGCACGGCGAGCGCGACACTCGCGGACACATCACGAACGCTTCGCAAACACTTCGCGAACGCTTCGCGGACGATCGCTTGCGAACGTAAACGAGCAGATTTTGGTCACGTCCTAACCCCCAGACACCCATCCTCTGAACAGGAACCCTTCTGTTGCGCATTCGGGAAAAGCTATGGGCCATTTAAAAAGCCCTTCTGTTTAAACAGTGTTGCGACGTTGCGACCTGGATGTTGCAGCCCAGGAAAGGGAACCCGATGGCAACGGTGCAACATCTTTTTCAAGCTCGAAACTGGCCTCCAATGGTGGTATAACGAGCAACCACTCATAGGCTTATGGGATTCTGAATCTTTGGGTCTCCCGAAAGACACTTAAACTGAGGGGCGCTTTACGGATTTCCATCAAGCAAAGCTTTGGGAAACCTCCCCCAAAAGTGCTTTTGAGAACCCATGAAGTGCAACCACTTTGGGGGACCTAGCAAAAAGGCGGGGTTCCTCCAACCCGTTGGATGGGCAAAGGGGCCAACCACCCCTGCCTTCTTCCAAGCTTTGCTCATGCCCTCGGACACGCAGAAGTAAGTGTTCGTGCTCGCGGGAATCGTGTACTCCGGGGGCGTGCCGAAGGAAAGAGCCTCGAGCAATTCTTTGGGGGCTCCAAGTAGAACCCTTTGTCATGAGCCACACAACAAGGGAACTGGTTGAAACCTTGGGTTGGCAAGCTTGGTTCTGCAAGTCTACTCAGTTTTAACATGCAAGCCAGAAAAACATATATCTGCTTTCAGGAATTGGGCCCTGTTTTGGGGGTTCCATGAGATCAGTAGTGGAGTAAATGAGCTCACTCCCGGCCTTCACCACATCCTTGTCCTTGCTGAGGAACGACTGGCAGGGTCACTCGATATCCCCTTAAGTTGATCACTTTACCGGTGGGCTCCACTGAAGGGCTCCCTAAATGTCCCCTTAAACATCACACCAGAAGGAAATGGGTAACCACAATGCAATGTGTCATGCCAATTTTTCGGGCAGATCCGATTTTCGGGCCCTCTCCACCTTGGTCAGTGGACTCACAATCGCCTTGGTGGGGGATGGGAAAGTGAGGTCCGACGCGTCGTTCCCCAACATGGCGTCTGTCAAGCCCTTGGAGATCCAGTAGAGCAGTCCGCCCTCCCCCGAGATCGCCGCGATGATCACCTCTCCCAGGGGGGGGGCAACTCGGAAAGGGGGGGGGGGGGACATTTGTGGGACCTAGCGGCCATCAACATTTGGTTTTTCGACTTGGTGAGGGGTGACGATTTGGGGTTCGACATATCGGCAAACTGGGGTTTGTCAGAAGCAAACCTTCGAACCCCCTTTTCCGGCAGGATTGGCTAACTGTTGGTTTCCACATGTCCAAAAGTGGGTCCTCTCGCCTCCTCGCCCTGCATGACCCACGGACAATAGCATGTTTTCCCAAAGAGGGCATGGGCAAATCGAGTGATCCTCTGCCTAGTTTGTGTGCGAGATTGGGGAAGGCATCCCCCGATGCTTGTTTGTCAGTTGTTCACATGAGCCACAGTTGACATTCATTGTGTTCCCGAATCATATTGGATTGTGGGAAGTAGCCCAATTGCCTAATGGCAGTTTGGTCAGTGTAGCCAATGTCGGTCCCTTGACGACATTAGATGACGGAGAAATAAAAGAGACAAAATCCCATCTCGATCTGCTATCATTCCCAAGCCAGGAATAAAAGAATCTCCCAGGAAAGGACCTTCATCATGGGGCCCAAGGGGACCCCTAGTTGCAGGTGAGCTCGCCCAAAACAAAAAACTCCCTCCCACCCTCCCATCCTATCTGCCCAGACCTCAATGGGGAGCAAGGTCAGCACCGCGAGCATGTTGAACATGTCCTTGGTTGGTCGACCCCTTTAACTTTTTGCCAGCGGGAAAATAACAATTTCCAAGGGTGAAAGGTTTCCAAAGAGCAGCTAGCCCAGTGTCACCACGAGTACCAAAGTGTCGTTGAATGGTGCTTATTTAATTCTTTGGTTTTCCCCCAACAGCTGAAAGCTTTGGGGTCTCAGCCCTGGTCCGGGGCGGAACCAAGGTAAGGTTCCACGAGTGTTCCACCCAGGGCTCCACCAGGGTTCCACGAGGGTTCCACGAGGTTCTGCGAGGGCCGCAGGGTGATACGAGCACTAAAAAGAGCACCGCATGCTGTCGGGGATGTTACCTGAGCTTATTGCTGGTTAGTGAGTCAAATAATCAAGAGAAATGGCTGCCTGGGTAAGCTTAAACTCACTTTCCACGAACCACTGACCATTTGTCCCCACCAACCAGCAGAAAAACCACACGTTTGAACGAACGGCTTAAGAACCGTTTTCCCAAAAAGGTCACAAGGCCAGCGACCGAGCGTCGTGCACCGTGGCGCCGGAGAAGGCGCGCTCCAGCTCCAGGCGGTCGCCCACGTGGGCCATGGACACGATGGTGTTGGTCACCTCACCCGGACGCGGACGGACGGACAAGCGCAACCCGAAGCCCAGGGATCCCAGTGCCGGAAACCGGGGGGGCGGGGTTGAGGGGGTTGAGGGGGTTGAGGGGGTTGAGGGGGTTGAGGGGGTTGAGGGGGTTGAGGGGGTTGAGGGGGTTGAGGGGGTTGAGGGGGTTGAGGGGGTTGAGGGGGTTGAGGGGGTTGAGGGGGTTGAGGGGGTTGAGGGGGTTGAGGGGGGTGGGGGGAGGGGGAAAGGTGGTCCAACGTGAAGTCACGGAAGAAGAGGAGAAACCCTGGCGCCCTCAAATATACAGTTGGGGGGAGTTGGTACGTTGTTCAGTGGCCGAAAGGGAAACCACAAGGCGAAACCAAAAGTTGCAGACCGTAATACCCCTGTCTTCAAAGGGAAAACCACATAGAATAAAAGCATATCGAAATACCCGTGTCTTAACACAGAACAAGTCTATGTTTCTCACAAGGGGGCCCCTTTTCGGAGTAGAGTAAGGGAAACCAAAACAAAACCTACCCGAAGGAAATGGCACCGAATTTTGAGAACACCCATGTCTTTCCCTTGCTCTTGCTCGGGTGTTCACGAGACCAAGGCCAAAAGAGCCTTGAAGGGGTGCAGTCTGGCAATGAACCAGGGTGCATTTCTCAGTGGTCCTTTTGTTGTTGTTCGGGTATTCCCAAAACTGGTCCTCTGAAAGTGATTCCATGTTCAGTTCTCAAAGTTTTGGGTTTGGTAGCTGGTCGAATTGGAGGTCATTGGTAAGGACTTCCGCAAGGGGGTCCCTTGGAGTGGTTGCATTTTGCGCACTCAAAATGACTTGTGTGCTTGGCAAAACCTGTTCAAACCACCATTTGGGAGAAGTCAGAAAGGCCAAAATGGGCTTGAAGGTGAGTTCAGTCTGGCAAGAAAAAAATAGTTGTGTTCCACCGCAAAAGATGAGGGAGCCCATTAATTCAATTGTCATTACAGTAAGTAGGACAATTTGGAACCAATTCCACCGGCTCCAAATATGTTGTCACCTGGCTGGGTGCGTCCGCCAAACCACGAAAAAGATGTACTTTTTAAGCAAACCTTGCTGGTTGTCATCATGAGAGTTTTTGAATGTTCCGTTCACAAGATCTGAGGGAAGTTTGAACGAACCCTATTCAACCGGTTCCAAATACTCTTTGGACTCTGCTGGAAAAGGAGTCGCAGGATTTGGGATGAAAGCCGCAAACGGGAGCGCTTGCTCCGGGGGAAGCTGAAGAAACTGGTAGGCTCAGTCAGGGAGTTAATGGGCTCCTTCCCTTATGCCCTGGGCAAAGATGTGGGGACCCCATCCATGGATTGGTTCCCCTGCGGAGTCGTTATGATCCCAAGATAAGCATTACACCTCGCTCCTTCCACAGGTAGGGATGGTCCCCCGCTCAATTTTGTGTTGGGTTCCAATCAAAATGCCCCTAAAGGTCCAGCCGGCTTCATGAATTAACCATTGCCAACGTCAGTCCCCAAGTGGTAAGTTAAAGGGAGCACTTGTCGGAACCGAGGCAAATCGCTAGAGAGTTCACGAGCAGGAAATAAGATATCCTCAAATATGGGATTCGCCTTCCAAGAAAACCACCAGAAACCGCAGAAAAGAGCATGACAAGCACGGTGGCACGGTGGTGGAAAATAATCAGGAATCCACCCCTAGACTTCGCCGAGCCACCGAAGTTCCGATGTTTGCGCCCATGATGATGGGGATGGCGCGGTTCACAGTCAGCACCTCGAGGCAACGCAACAAGCTTCAAGGAATCCCTCCCCACTTCAGCTATACTGAGGAAGTGTATATTGGTTATAGCTACGAGTACCCCAGTTCTAACCTTGGTTACAACCTACTTGCCAAGCTGGTTGAACATCCCAGCAGTGGATACCATTAGTAAGACCCTTAGGAAGGCCTCAAGAAGGGGTCGCTGGAATAACTTACCGCTGGGTGGCTTATGTTTTCTGAGTGGACTGTCCCCCCAGTTTCAGGGGCTCCATGTCCCACTCAGAGCGCAAATCCCACGTCCCCTCGAACCGATGGCCGCGCTCCGCTTCGGAGCGGCGCCTCCGCGCCCACCAAACCCACCACGATGCTGGTGCTCGTGGAGGAGCTCTGCACAAGAACTGTGGCCAGGATCCCCACCTCAGTGCAACTCCCTTTAGAAACACCCCGAAGTCTTCGAAGCTGTTGCTTGATCATGGAGTTGTTCTTCTCCACTCTCTCTCTCTCTCTCTCACTCTCTATCTCTCGCTCTCCCCATAATATGTGTATACATATGCATATATATATATAGATTGAGTTGAGGGGGAACCCCCTCTCTGGGGTTGTCAAATGACAGTTACAAGGACACCAGAACTCATTTCGAACCTCATGATCCCACCGGCTGATGCTTGGTCTTTTGGGTATCTTCCCTATTAACCCCCATATCGGGTACGTGTCAAAGGGGCCCAGCAAATTAGTGGTTTTGCTCTTGGTCTCCCTTTGTGAAAAGAGAGCCCGGCTCCCTTCTCGTCCTCCCTAAACCAACAGTAGACCAGTACATCAGTGGCTCACATAGGTACCCCAACATTGGTGAACCCCCAACATGTGTCCCTTTCCTGGTTTTCCTTCAGATGAAAAACATGAAAAAAAGACAAAGAAAAAACTGACACCTGGCCCAATCCCAGAGCACGCCAAACAAAATGTTCAGAGCCTGTTCCATATTCAGTCAACCTTAAAGATTTTAAGACAACCTAATGTCCAAGTCCCGCAAAAAGACGAAAGCAACAGTACCATCCACACGCCCTTGTGCCCTTTCGCAAGAGCGAGCCGCCATGAGCCCGGCGATGGGATTGTCCGTGATGGTGAAGAGCTGCCCGGCCCGCTTCCCGCCCAATGCGCCGAAGGAGCCGCCCATAAGATCCTCAAACCGACGGCGCCAAGCATGCGCAAAAACGACGCGCGCGCGCCCGGAAGACGCTTAGCGTGCCCGGAGACTTATTTAAAGACTGAAAATTGCCCGGGTGAGTTTGTAGTTGACAAAAATGCGGAACCAAAGGCCAAAGGCCTCGGTTTTTGTGGGTAGGTTAACTTTGAAGGCCTAGTGGCTCGGCTGGAAGCTTAGCTCTAAGTCAACCAGTTGTTTATTGAAAGGCAAGAAAAACCAAAGGGGATTCAGGGAGAGAAAAGGAAACCAAATCCTTGGACAGGGCAGGACAGCCAAGTTCTACCAATGGGCCCACACCTGGAAACGGACCCCGCACAAGGGCAACGGCGTCCTCTTGGTTTTCGAGGGAAGCACAACCAACAGAGAGTACCCCAAAAGAAAGAAACGCCCAGCCCAAAGCAAAAAAGCTAAAGTCCAGAGGCCAATCAGGGGACTCTACATGGGTTGTACTAGATGGGTTCCGATCGCTTGCACGCAGATACAACCATGTCTTCGCATCCGATTTCGGACACATTTGTTCGAGTCCCCTCAACGGGTCGCGCAAGAGAATAGGGGTTGGCAGTTTTGGACCAAGTCTTGGCAGTCTGACATGGTTGACCCATGGGATGAGAGCAGATCATTTGCCGTCGAAGGAGCAAGCCCGAAGAGGAAGCAGTACAGTGCCAACAACACGCCCAAAATCTTCGCTGTCGTCAGCAGCGCGAAGACAGCACAGCTCTGCTCCTTCGGTTGCGACTGCATGGCTGCAGTGATTGCCAAAAGCGCCAAAACAAAACTAGCTCGAGCCAAGAAACTGCAAAAGGATGGCCGGACAATGCGGAAAAAGGGCAAACGAGACAAGAAAACTGTTCGACAAAGAATGGACTTACAGGCACGGTGAGGAAGACCCAGAGAAGAATAGACTCTCACCTGCAAGAAAAGGTTGACTTGAAGCCATGGTCCATGGAGAGACTGATCCAAGAAGAGCAGACTCTTAAGTATCTTGTCAGTCATGCACCCTGTGACAAATTTGTTTGGTATGTCCCGCTAATTGGAAAATACCGCCTGGGCGTGCCTTTGTTTGGAGAAGCTGCCTTTCTTGGGTTTGGTTTCTCTGGGGGAAAAAAAAGGAAAAAAGGAGCCGAAAAGCCTTTTGGGGTCGGCTTCTTTGGGGAAACTGAGGAAACCCCTCGCCAGGATGCACAAGGAAACCCCGCTGAGCAGCCGGCCATCGAAGGTCCACTTGTCCCCCATAGCGTGCTGAGAGCGAAGGCGGACAGTTTTAGGGTCCCTGATCTGTGGCAGCATGCGTGCAAAGCAAGGAAGCAAGGGAAGGCAAGGGAAGGCAAGGGAAAACAAGGGACGGGGAATTCAAGGTCCACTAAGTATTGCTCTTCATTGAGGGCCAGAGTGTTGTTTCATCCAATTTCGCCCCCAATCCTGGAGAAGACAAAACACGCTTAACCCATACCCAGTGCTTCCAGGCCAGCCACTACAGTGGGCAACCGGGGCATTTTTCGCCTCTAGGTTTTACCTTGGTGTCCCTTAATTTCGCTTGGTTTCCCTTGGTTTCCCCTGGTTTCCCTTGGGTGCCTATGGCTTGCCATGGAAAAAACTGGGATAGCCACCACCCCCCCCCCCCCCCCCGCGGCGATTCTCCAAGCTCTCGGCCACAGGCCACAGGATGAGATCCGCGCCGTCCATGGGGTTGTCCTGGCGCCTGAGGAAGTGGCCAGCGCCCCCCATTTCGCCCCCCCCCCCCTGTAAACCCAGCAAGCGTGTGAACCCCCAGATCCAAGCGACCTGTCCATTCCTTGTCCAAGAAGCCAGGATCCGCCATTTGGATTGACAAAAACGAATGGGATCAGTTGCGTTGATATCTGTTATGAATGCTGTGATGCATTGGTCGAATAATCAATGAAATCAAAGTTAATATTGGTTGGGCCACCATTTTGCCCACGGATCCCCTTCGCATCCCTTCGCCATGCTCGCTGACTGGCAAACCCGGGGACGCGGCACAGACAGGACCAATCTGGGATTTGCCTTGTACTTGATGAACTCCCCGTCGATGTCCTTACACGGAAAGGCACCCAGAAACCAACAGAGAGGACCCCAGGAAAGAAACAACCAGAAACATGATCCATCTGGACAACGCCTCTACAACTCCAAACTGGCAACAAGCCCAGTAAGGACCTTGCTCGTAAGAACCTCCAAGGAGGTTCCCCTAAAACACAAACCAGGAGATGCCGTTTTCCATTTGACCCTGTTGGGAACCCACGGGACCAAAAAAGTCCGATTCCAAAAGTGCCATCGACTACCTGCCTGCGCAGCGGCCGGGATCGGATCAAACCGAGGACGCGGCCCAGTGGAAGGCCGCGTCGTCGTTGCACTTCCACAGGATCACGTCCGAGCCGGGCCCGGCCTCGCTCACGGCTCGCTCGGGGCTCGGGTGGGGCGTCTCAACCGGGCAATGGGAAACCCGGCCAAAAGGGGAAACCGGGGAGTTGAGAATGAGCGGGGCAAAGATGGATTCATCCACAAATCTGAGCTTGGAGAGCAAGGGCACCTGAATGTGGGAGAGTGGCTAATTTACAGCTGGTTAGCCGTGCAAATTCGCTCACGAGCCGCCAGCCTTGCCCTCCCGCACGCTTAGGCAGTAGGAAGGATCCGCCTGCACACTCCCGGCCCACAAAGCGGCGAGAGAGGATGCGAGTGTCAAGCCCACCCTGCAAAAGCCCACCCTGCAACCGAAGGCGGCTTCCAAAACCAAGCGCATGTCAAAAATGTGGGACCCTAAACATGACTCCTGTTTCCTGTGGCCTCCTGTTCGGCGTGTAAAAGGTGCCCAATTTCAGCACACGGCAAACAAAGCCATACCCTGAGAGGTCACCTGGTCTGTTGTTTTGACGACCATCCCTACGAACCTTTAGGTCATCCTACTCCACACGAACTACGAGGCTACCCAAGTCCTGCCTGGTACTGGATGTGCAAGCCGTTCACCTCAAAACTCCGAAAGCCCACAAAAAACTTGGCACACAGCTGTTGCCATCTCTTAGCTTGTTCATGTCGGCATGTGTCAAAATAGGGGAACCCCCAGAATGTGGCCTTCCCTCTGCTTCCCCCTCGAACCAACCTGAAAGCGCCCCTCAAACAAACCCGCCAACGCCAAAATGGAGCCGGATGCTGGGAGTACAGATCCTGGGCCCCCGGCTTCAAACCTGTGCTCGTTGTCTTTGGACTCAGCAAGAGCCCGGCTCTCCGAACTCCCCGGTGGATCTGTTGCCCCCGTTGGCCCGTCAGGGGAAACCGAAGAAAAATGAAAAGGACAAAGGAGTCTGTGTCCTTAACAGTTCGTCACCGGCTTCGGAGCAACCCTGCCACAGTGACGTCAGATGGGGCCGGAAACTGAGCTCGCTGCGCAATGCCAGAGGATGATATCTGCGCCTTCGCTTGCGCGAAGGACGCAATCGAGGACAACAGGGCAAATGGGCCATTGCCATGAATTGCAGCCAGGCCGCCATTTCCCACCTTGCCTTCTCGCCTGCATTGACAGCCACGCGCATAGCAAGGCCCTACTCCCCTGCACTAACGTGGAACTCAGAAAGCTATCATTTGTAGAGAATCTCTTTTTGGGGGACCCCTTGTGGTGCTCCATGTGACTTTGTAGTGTATCCCGAAGCGTGCGAGCGGCCCTTCTAAAAAACCGATCGCGGACACTTCTGAGAAGCTCAGGCCAGGACACACTGGCACAGTACTGCGGATTTTGCTTGTACTTCAAATATTTGTTCTTGACGATCCACCGCCTCAGCACGCAAAAAAAAAAAAAAACAACTTGTCAGTTGTTGCGTTCTTGACGGTCGCTCGTGCAAGCTTCGGTTTTCTCATATCATGAAAGTGTCGAATTAATCATACGCCGGCACTGCCACAGTTTGCCTTTGCCTGTTGCACAGTCGGACTCTGCCTCAATGTCTCTGCATCTGTGTCTCTGTCTCCCTTTGTCTCTTTCTCTGTCTGTTTTGCCAGGCAGCTGGCGGGGTGGGAGGGAGGTTCCTGTTGGGAGATACGCTCCGTCTGCATAGGATGCAAAGGAACGCAGCAGATCATAGCAGTCATGACAATTCCGCCCAACAACGAAGAAATAAAGGAAGCCACTTTGACCCACAGCCAATGGTCATTGCGGCACCAACTGGCATTGGATTTCGGCGAGTGGCTCAGTTTCTTGATTGCGGTTCGGCGCGCCAAGACAATTGGGTATGAATTTCAATTAGGGACCCTTTGGTGGACATCATTTCGGCGGGGATTTATGTCCACCAACCACTTGTCAGGGGGTTCCCCAATAAAAAGATCACGGCCATTTCCTTACGACATCAACTCGCCTGCCCGAGCTCCAGACTGCTGGCCAAAGCCTGCGCACTCCGGCAGCAGGGCTAAGGCGCCTGTCAAGGCGGGGATCTGGAAGGCACCAAAGCCCTTGCCTGCAACGCTTATCAACATGCAAAGGATCTGACATCTTTTTTGGTTTGACACATGGCCACTGAATTTCTGGTCTATGTTTGAAACCATTGCCATCCGGTGAACTGCGGATCCCTCCAAGCGATGCCGGCGTCGCGAAAAACGATTTCTGCAAAGCGGCGGATGTCCAATTGCCACCGAAGCGCCACTTCTCCAGTCGCATCCCAATATAGAGAATACACCTCTTTACAGCTGGATTCTATGTGGGTGCAGTTGTTTGACATGCATTTGGTTCCTTGGTTCGCAAGCGGTACTTGCCACTCTCCTTTCTTGGAAGGACCGCCCCTCCCCCTCGCATCTTAACCATGCCAAGGTCACAGGCCACCAGGATCTTGGACCCAAGCATTGCCTGGGCACGAGTACATCCAAATTGTGTGTCCGGCGATTCCAATTACCCGTGGATCCACTGGGGATGATTTGCTCAATTCCAACTAAGGACCCTTTGGTGGACATCAGTAACCTGGAGATTTAGAACCAACCGTTTTTCTAATCGAAAGCCATAGCGGCTTTGCGTCAGGTTTTGGCCAAACTCTCAAGGGTGTTGGTCTGATTGGACGATTTGTGGGATGCCAATGTTGAGTATGTTTTGGGAGGCTCTCACTTCGCCCCGCTTTTGGGGACTCGGGCTATGAACCCAGAGGCAACCAACAGGACTGCTCAAACCAGACAGGATGCTAACAGGGTTCCTTTTTGACTGCCCCATAGACTTAAACCCAGAGGTTGCCCTTGGCCCTTGGAGCCCCGGTTGCTGGGCCAACGCGGACCGAACTGAACCCACGCGCTGAGTGGCGGGCGCTGAAAACGAACCAGCGCGCAGTGGCTTTGAGATCAAAGGCGGCGGTGAGGGGCGACACATGCGGTCTTCGAAAGGACCTCCTTTTGGGTAGTTTTTTGAAGGATACGAAAAGGACACAAGCGATTTCAAAAAATCTCTGGGGTCCATTTGAGAAACCATGTGTCAAGTTGATTCCGCAGCTGCTGTTGCTGTAAGGTTGCCCTGACCCATGCGCTTGGCCAAAACTGGTCTCAGCTAGCACCAAGCGCGCGAGTGTTAACACTCAGAGCTCCTAGATTTCGCCCTGAAACATCACCCAACCAAGAGGAAACTCAACAAACAATTGCCCAAAACTTTACTGCGTAAACGGGCTGAAAAGGGAGATAGAGGGGGTGCAGGTCAGAATCGGATCAGGGCCACTCCTCCTGAGGGTTTTCTGCTTAGCGTTTTTGTCTAGAAGGTGACCTAGCTTCTT